CCTCACCCTCCCCCACCCCCCACACTCCCCCGCAGGCCCCTGCCCGGCCCACCTGCTTCCTGCCAGCAGCAGCACCTTGGCTCCACTCAGCCCTTTGCCCAAAAGCTCCCGCACCACCTCCTGGATGATGAGGGTGCCCATGAAGGCGTATTCATCTGCTCAGAGAAGGGGGGGTGACTTCGGGTGGGGGCCTGGACGCAGGGCAAGGCCTCCTACCGCCAGGGTGGAAGGAAGAGGGGTTCTAGCTGTGGTCCGGAGGGCCTGCGGGGGGCTGGGGCCAGGGCCTGGCAGACTGGAGGGGGAGGGCAGGTGCTCAGGGCCGCACTGCCCCCCCCACCCCCACAGACCGGTCAGGAGTGAGGCCCTCCACAGGGGGAGGTGGACGCTGAGGCAGGCACCTTGGGACACGCTGGGTGTTAGGGCTCAGTAGGGCCTCTGGGACAGAAGCCTGCGTTTCTCAGGAGCCCCGCCATCCCGCCCCGTCTTGGGGGGTGAAGGGGAACAGAGGGGAGCACAGAGGACTCACTCTTGTCAGACTTGGATGAAGCCCCACTCCAGACATCGCTTGAGCAGTAGGGGATGAAGCTGCAACACAGGGGCAGCGTGAGGCCACAGCTGGTCCATGACCGAGGCCCACCGAGGACCTCCCTCCCCGCGGAGGACCCCCTCGCCCCCTTACACCATGTTGGCGTTCCACCAGTGGGGGTTTTCCTCGGGCTGGGAAGACAGGATCCCCGTGCCTGTGGCAGAGGGGACAGAGGCAGTGGGTCCTTCTGGCTGGCGGGGTGGGGGGTGCTGTGCACGCGCGGGGACTGCGGGCCGGTCTGGGATGTGAGGGGTGGTGCTGGCCCCAGCCCCAGTGGCAGTAGAAGTGGGGAATGGACAAAGCCACCGTGGCCAGGAGGCCCAGCCAGACTGTGACACTTGGACATAGCCCTGGAATCCCCCTCCCCTCCCCCACCCGTGCTTTGACCCAGGGCTGACCAGGGTCCCTGGGCCGTGCAAAGCCCTCCAAAGTCACCTGTGGAATAAGAAGTAGAGGGGAGCAGTGCTCCCTAACCGTGGGAAGTTCAGAGAACGGGGCGGGGACACGGACAGGGTGGGGCCACGGCGGGGTTCTTCTGGAACTTCAAATCAGAGCTCCACGAGGCCCCCTTTCCCCCCAAGTGGGACGCCCTGGGCGGGTCTGCGCCCTGCCCACCTGTGCGGGTGCGCGGCCAGTCCCTGGAGCTCATGAGGCGCCGCATGGTGTCGTACCGCGAGTCGCAGTTCTCTCGGTTGAAGCAGTACCAGCCGCCTGCGGGCACAGCCACCACCTCAGGGCCCACGTGCCCGGGGACCCCCGCCCACCCCGCCGCTTAGGCCCCTGGGACGCACCTTCCAGAAAGAGTAGCCACCGCCGGCTGCCCTTGGATTCCTTCAGGTAGTAGCTGCAAGGGAGGGCGGGCGGAGCTGGCGGTCAGCGGGGGCAGCTCCGGGCAGGAAAGGGTCATTACCTGTCGCC